TGCGTGGGTTTCAGCAAACCACACTTCTGAGAAAAGAAATCAAATTTTCTCATTTCTTGAGCATGAGACCAGTTACTTTATGTATCTTGGTGTTTTATAGATGCATTTAGTCCCTCAAATAAGCTAATGCAGGCAATTTTATTAATTTCAGCCGTTCTGCAAATTGCTGTGCAATAACATTCTTTTCTATTATTTTGTGAATCTTTGGTTCCTCTTTCTTAAACTGCTGTATCTTTCAGTCATTTCTTTATTATCCTTATGCTAGTTGTACCTAATAGTTGTTTCAGCTGCCTAATTTTGTGCATTCAGAAGCAGTTAGCACAGAAGAAGTGAGCAAAATCTAAGGAAGGAACCTGTACAAAAAAAAAACGCCAAGCGGAGAATTTTTTCTATTGCTGATCTCAGTTAAATGAGGTTTGTTAATGCGCACATAATTGTCTTCTTCTGTCTCTATTCAAATTAGAATATTTTAGGGCTCATTAAAAAAATTAAATTTCTTATGATCCAGGTGATGTCGAAGCGATCTTTGTCGGATAATAGCGATGGGTCGGATCAAGACGATGCCCAGTCGACCGCCGACGACCAAGAGATTGCTGCAAAAAAGCGACGGCTAGTTGCTTTCGAGACTGTTCGCCTTCTTTCTGTTACCGGAGTGGTAAGTTATGCTTTTTTAGTTGGAAAAAATTTGGTTGAAAAAAACTTTAGCAAAGCACATCGAGCAACTCAAGTGAAAATATGATTTTTCTGTATTTTAGAACGACATCGATGACAAGAAGGCGAAAGTACAAGCCTATAAGCTGTCGGAGGCGTTACGACATAAGAATAAGCAACTAAAGATCAAGGAACGAGAGATAGAAAGGTTACGGCAGCGACAAATGACTGATGAGAATACGAGTTGTACGATCAACAGGCATTGGAATAATGTAAGTTTTTTTATTTGCTTAAAAGACACCATCTCTCAAACTGAAGTTGATGGGATTCTAATCCTGTATGATAATGTGACACTAACAAGGGAAAGATACTTGGTGACCGTGGCTGTTT